GCTAAAGTGGACCTGGGTAGGGTAGGTCGATTTTAATGCTACTGGCCTGTTCAGATCAACAGAGGTGATTAATTGCAGTTTTTCTATTGATACACCTTAATTTTCCTATTGTATTGGTTGACTGAAGGTTTTGGTCTTTTGGGGAAAATCAATATGTTTTGTGTGGATTAGCCATAACAGCCCGCAAGTCACAGCATACAATATTGGGGCAAAGATTGTGAGCAATGTTAAAAACCAACTCCATTTTTTTGGCAGAAAAGGACAGCATGATTCCCCGAGCTGCACTACTTCAGCACAGCCATGAGTGGGGATCTCCCCCTCTCCCTGCCACACAGGGGATGCATTGAAACTAACATGTCTGACATCTGTAAAACCAACAACGTGTGTGCATTGTATGCTGTGAACTTCATTTTACTGTCATTGTGATTGTCTACGTTTGATTTAATCTGGTTTGTTGGGCGACTTAACAAATGTTCTATTTTGTAAGTGGAATGTGCTGGTCTTGCTTTATTCTAACTGCATTGCTGTATTGTACGCTAGCCAATTAAATTATGACAGCAGATAGAGGAAAATACCTGGGCTCAGCCAGTGAGGAGGCGGTAGATCCATGCTCACCACTTTATGTACTGGAGGAGGGGGGAGCCATTTTAAACTTCAGTAGGGTCACTACACTCGGATATAACTGACGCAGGCACTCCCCTACCATTGAGCATTTCCCTGGTCCTGTCACTGCGTACCATTTGGAGTATATTACATCCTCCATGTCAAGGCCTATACCATTCCTGTTTATACAAGTTGCTGAAGGCTGCTTCAAGTGTCTGTAAACCCCACCAATGAACGTAAACTATTTGCTTCCCTTTGTTTTGTTTAAATATACCATGGGGAGCATTTTGTTATATCTGCTCAATGCTGTAAGTGGCAAAATACCTAGAAATAGAAATCTATACATAGAAATGTAGTGTGCTCGTAACTTTGTGTGCTCTCTACTGACTGTCATCAGTTAACGTTGTTCACAGTTCTCTCTGTGGACTACAGAACTCTTCCCTTGTGTATTATAGAGACAAGGATAGGGAAGGTGCTCTGCAATCTTAACACATTTCCAGTCCTCGGGTGGCAAAGCTGCTCCTTCATGGATGCAGTGAGTGAGCATTGACACCCATGGACAGGAAGTGGCAGGATTAAAGTGTATGTCCAGTTAAATCTTTTTTGTTAGGCTTGGTTTGGATAGAGTGGGGAAGGGCTTGGACCCGCCAGGTTTACACTTTATTTAGACATATTTGAATTTTGATCTGTCTTACCTAAAAAGTATTGTAACTCTGCCCACATGAGGGTTATACCATTTCATGCTAAAGTAAACGTGTCTTGAGATAAACATGAAGGCTGACATTTGTATCCTCTCCTTCTGAAAATGCTAGTTGTCTGGATTACCTAGAACAAATATGCATTGCCTTGCATCCTACATTTCCTGACCTACATACTTGTTCCTGGTCTGCAGCACAGAACATATTGAAGATAGGGGTCAGAATAGCAGCCAGGTAACTATCAGTTTCAGGAGGAGATCAGCAATGATAGCCATATATTTCTATTCTGGCGACGTACTAATGTCTCAGTGGCCAGTTGTCACTTGGCAGGAAGAAAATGGGCATTTTACTGATTGGTGGGGAAGCAGAGAGAAAGAGAGTATATATAAGGAGGGGTCCAGGCATTGGAGTAAAATTGATGCTTTGTCCTGCATGGGTTCACTTCAAGGCTGGATTCACACCTATGTATTTATGTCCCGATGTGCTTTCCACTGAAAACACATCAAAACGTATCTTAATATGCCTCCGCTTTTTAACGAGCATTGCAGTTGACATTGTATAGAATGTGAATGTGCTCCTATCACCACCTGTGCAGAGAATGACAGGAGCCTGATATAAAACAAATTCAAATACATGTTCTTGTATGTAAAGATATATTTATATTAAGAGGAATACAAAGCTTAACATAGAAGAGTGATGGCAGAAAAGGATCCAGAGGCTCATTGAGTCTGCCCTTTTTTTTAATGCTTTGGGTTTATAGATCTCTGTTTGCCCCAACCATGTTTAAACTCACTTACTGCTGACTGACTCACTACCCTAGAAGTCTGTTCCAAGTATCAACTACTCTTTCAGAAAGCTAATACTTTCTAAGGTTAGTTTTGAACATATACACTCACTGGCCACTTTATTAGGTGCACCTTGCCAGTACCGGGTTGGACCCCCTTTTGCCTTCAGAACTGCCTTAATTCTCCGTGGCATAGATTCAACAAGGTGTTGGAAACATTCCTCAGAGATTTTGGTCCATGTTAACATGATAGCATCACGGGCCCAAAGTGTGCCAAGAAAATATCCCCCACACCATTACACCACCAGCCTGAATCATTGATACAAGGCAGGATGGATCCATGCTTTCATGTTGTTTACGCCAAATTCTGACCCTACCATCTGAATGTCGCAGCTGAAATCGTGACTCATCAGACCAGACAACGTTTTTCCAATCTTCTTTTGTCCAATTTTGGTGAGCCTGTGCGAATTGTAGCCTCTGTTGCCTGTTCTTAGCTGACAGGTGTAGCACTCGGTGTGGTCTTCTGCCGCTGTAGCCCATCTGCTTCAAGGTTTGACGTGTTGTGCGTTCAGAGATGCTCTTCTGCATACCTTGGATGTAACGAGTGGTTATTAGAGTTACTGTTGCCTTTCTATCATCTCAAACCAGTCTGCCCACAGACTGTTTGTGTCTAGGGGCGATCATCTGCAGGTAATAGCAGCATGTGGGACTATATGCGAGCAGGCCCTGGTACCTGACGTTGCGTTGTATAGCGCTTCCTGTCCGCAGCTGTTCAGTGCAACTCATCAATCGGTTCCATTTGTTAGTGTGAATGGAGCTTGAGCTGGCTGGGGATTGGCTGATCATTGCAGGCAGTGTAGCGCCACAAAATATTATTATGGGTTTCCTCCGTATTCCAGCAACTTTTTGGTGTTTGAAAAGTTTTGTCAGTAGATGCCGAGTTAAAGTTTGTCTAAAGCGAATGCTTTTTTCATTTTTTTTTTTTTACTTTGGATGGTGTGTTTGTTATCTGTGGTCACAAAGCCCGTCTGTTGTTTATTACTCTCTATGGTCATAGATCCCCTAGTAGGTGTGTATTGCTCTCTATGGTCATAAGGACTAAGCTGAGGGAAAACACAGAATTTGAAGCTGTAAAAAAAACAGAGTGTGGTGAAACCCTGACATATAAGACCCTGTTTTTTTTCACTGTCTGTGTACCATAGGGGAGATTTCCCTTCACTTCCTGTCACAAAGACACAAGAATTCTCTAAAAGTGGGGAATTTCTATCCTAAACAGCAATCCCAATTGGAAGATTTCCTCTGAGCTCTTGTTCTGGAGAGAAGGGTAACATTTTGGATTTCCCTCACTCAATGGGGAGAATAATTCCCCTCACGTAACACACGGGCTCTCATGGGTGAGGACAATCTCCCATTATACAGGTGTCAGTGTAACACATCTGTCCCCTGACCTGACAACAGGTTTTGTCTTCAGATGTTATTCGGGTGACTGGAGATTTACATAGAGCAGAATGACTACCTCATGAACTCCAGGGACACGTCCGGACCCTAAGTTGTCCCTGGAAATGAAGGACAGGACATAAAGCTGTTGATAGATATTCGGGTCGGAGGTAAAGTTGTGAAGACATGCGGGGTGAGCCGCCTCCCCCCTCCCGTACAACGCCTGGCACGGGCTGTACGCAAAGCTTCCTCAATGGGCACCGTGCCCTCTCCAGGAATGGTGGTGGGCGGGGCGAGCAGGGGGAAGGGGGCTCGGTGAAACTGCCTTGCGTGCGACGTCATCAATTTTTGCGACAAGACGCTCTGACGTTGCGGCGGCGGGCGGAGCGAAGGGAAAGTTCCGCCTCTTCCAAAGTGCTCGTAGATAGTTAACCATTGGTGGGCGGACTGTCCGGCGCCGGGAAGTTTATGGCTTTCCTGCTCTGTACACAGAGCCCGGTCACCGGAGAGAGCGGTGATTCCGTTCCGCTTACTCTCTGTATACAAACGCTTTCTTCCTGGTGTTTTGTTGTTATTGTTAGAGGGTGGTTCTTATGAGAGGCGGCGCCACGCCCCCGGACCCTCCCCGGCTACGCCCAGTCCAGAGTGAGCGATCTATCAGCCCAGCATAGAACATACGTCGCTGTGTTCGCAGTGCACACCGTTATCAGGAGCCGGGCGGCGCTGTGTCCAATCCCGGGGGACATTCGGTGTTCGGGAGCGGGGGCTGTGTGCCTCCCCGGCCTAAGATGACAAGGGTGAGGCATAGAGTCCTGCTCCTGTCTGATAGGCCAGCCACCATCACTTACTAAAGGCTGAGCAACCTGTAGCTTCCAGACTAAGAGGAACTACGAATCCTAGCGTGCCCAGCCTATGGGAGCCCTGGATCTACTCTATGTGGAGAGCAACAGGATGTCTGAGCATGATGGGGGATTCATCAGTGCAGGGGAGTTTTAATAGAGAGGTGATAGATGAATGCTGGAGGGATTTAAGAATGTTGGAGGGATTAATGAACGCTGGGGGGATCTAACAATGTTGGGGTGGTTGATGATGAATGTTGGAGGGATTGATTTAAAGTTGGGGTGGTTGATGATGAATGCTGGGGGGGATTTAAGAATTTTGGGGTGGTTGATGATGAATATTGGAGGGATTGATGAAAGTTGTGGTGTTAGATGATAAATGCTGGGGGGAATTGATGAATATGAATGATGATATATAATAAGTGTGTTACTTTTTGTGTTTACAGTCAGAGATCACATCTTGTATCATCACATGTGTAGATGTTGTATACTTTGCAGGGTTCTCCTGACTTCCAGGTCTATGCTGATTTGAGATGTGCTGGACGTGGAGGATGAGCCCCCTGTGTGTATTGTTTATATTGTTATGAATGTGTTCTCGGTTGTAGTAACTCATCATTTCTCTCTCTCTTTATTCCTCAGAATACTGTAATGGAAGAGACTGCAATATGGGAGCAGCAGACAGTGACTCTCCACAGGGTAAGCCAGCCACGAGTTAATCACTCAGGATACCGACTGCCGACAGAACAATAGACAAAAGCCAGATGTCAGGAAGCCAAAGAGAAGGAAATCGGTTTTGTCATTTTCCTTTTGTCAGAATTAGTTGTAAACTTTGAACTCATTGTCGCGTTGTTTTAGCAGTGTGCATTTGGAATCTTATGAAGTTGGCTTATGCCAGTGGTGTGCTCAGCATTACACTTTTTTCTTATTGCTGAATGTTCCGATTCTTGTTTGTGGTGATTGCCTTTTATTATTTTTGATGTATTTGCCAAGTGGATGAGCAGACTTCGTTAAGCTGGACATACAGAAGTAGATTTCCGCTGTTAAAGGAGAACTATGAGGTGAGTGCTTTTCACTCACCTCATAATTCTAGCACTGCAGGCTTCATGAAAGAAATCTGATTCCCCCATGCAAGCTAAACAGTGTGGATGGAGGAACCTTCCCTGGCCAGGTCATTGTATTCTAACATCCGGCCTGAACTTTGACAGCAGCTGATTGGCAGTCACTGATCACTCAACAGTTTTCAACTTGGCTCCTTTGACAAAAGTTCATCGAGTAGTCAAGTTTTGTTGAGCTGGCCAGGTCCACCCACTGCTAGAATTTTGTCTGATTCCTGGGAATCAGCCAAAATTCTAAAGGTGCCCATACACTGTACGATTATCGTACGAGAATCGCGTGGAATACCGCGGTCGTATGAGAATCGCAAAGTTTATGGAAGGCGTGTGACTGTTTTTACTGTACGATCGGACGTCTTCCGTCGAACGGGCCGGTGTGTGTACGCGCACACTGCCCGTTCAGCATTGCAGTCATCGGAAGCCCGCCCCCCTGAGGATCGCAAGTACGATCTGCCTGTCAAGATGGGCAGATCGTACGTTTTTTAAATTACTTTACAACCCTCGCAAGACAAAAGTGTATGGCCACCTTAAGAGTGTATGGTCAGCTTAAGCTTCCACTTTGAAAAACATCAGATTTTTAAAAAAGTTTTGTCTGCTGCATACTTTGTATTAGAATGCGACTACTGCTGTTTTAGTCTTTACTGCACGTTTGTTGTCTATTTAATGCATAGACATCGTGATAGTTTTATAAACTTGTCCAGTTTATAGAAGACTATACATCTATGTGGCTACTATATGCAGTGACCTGTGTTTTTCTGCACAAGTTATCAGTAGGACAAACAAAAGTTTTCTATGTGGCCTCACTACCTGGTTACATGACATGTTTACTAGGACCAGGCACTGTCACAGGGGAGCAGATCACATGCGCCCTCATACCCAGATGAGCTTGGTATTCTTTCTGACTAAAGAACAACAGTCATCACTGGGGGAAATAGAAAAAAGTGTTTTTATTTCTATGTGGCTTGTTTACAACACTGGTGTACTGTGTGGTGCAGAAAAACTCATCATGTCTGGGATGGTACCGGAGGTTACCCCAGGGCAGCACACTGCACTGCTCTGAGGGACCAGAATAGAGTGTACATATTGTACACTTCCAATAAAGTAAAAAAAAAAAAAAAAGTCAACAGTTGATGCGATGAGACACTGTCACACCCCTGATCTCATGCAGACACTAGCCTGCACACTAAAGCTCTGTGTTTTATTTTGCTCGTGTGAATAAGGCCAAAGAGTGCGTTCCAAAGCGTTGGGCCTCTGGAACACAACCTGGCCTGCATTCAGGGGCCGGAGGGGGCGTGACGGTGCAATGAACTCAGTGACACTGCAGCCACCCTCCCCTGTCCACAGTGCGATCACCTGAATGGATGGCACATTAGTGCCTGCGTTCCGGTCCAGTGCAATCTGCAAAAATGTTGCATGCGCTATTTTTGCAGACCGCAACCAGCCCTAAAGGTTGTAGCTCAAAATAACTGCAGCTGCTTTTAGTACTCCTGCTTTGTCTGAATGTCGGACTGTTCTGGTAGACAAAGATCCAACACTTCCTGATAATCCTGCAACTTGCCTCCTCTATCCTGCCTCCTGTACCTTTCTATTGGCTAGCGAGGCAGCCCATCATGGCAGTGGCCCAATAGGAATGTGGTGCATCATAATAATAATTCTCCCTGGCTGATTAAATTGATGTTGGTATTTTTGAAGAGAAGGCTTTGTCAGCTGTTGTTATAAGCCTGGGTGTATAGATGTATCTTAGGTCTGCTTTTAAAAACATCCAGAGAGGAGGATTCCCAGACAATGGATAGCAGTGAGCTCCATATTGTGTCCGTTGTGTGATAGCATGCACTAGGCCCAAATATTTTTTGGCTGACTCTGGACTCCCTTTTTGTCCCCTCTGAGGAGCTGAAAGTACATAAAGATGCATGGAGTAACCCGAACTTCTGTCAGGTAGGCGGAAGTCATGTTATTTAGGGCTTTATATGTAGGTAGATCTATTTTAATGGAGTGATAGGAGCTTCAAGTGATCTTATGAGAGGGTAAAAAAAATGCTATCGGCGATACTTGGTGAAGAAAACTGATTTACACTTGCATGTCTGTGAGCAGATTTGCTGAAACCTCCAGCACCGGTCCTAACTCACAACACTAGGGGTTCCCAGTTCAAATCCTGCTCAGGACACTATCTGCCAGGAGTTTGCATACTCTCCCTGTGCTTTTTGGGTTTCCTCCGGGTACTCTGGTTACCTCCCACACTCCAAAGACATGCTGGAATGTTAATTAGCTCCTGTCTCAAGCAGCCCTGTATATATGCATGAGATAGGAACCTTAGATTGTAAGCGTCTTGAAGGCAGGGACTGCTGTGAATGAGCAAATATGTAAAGCGCTTTGGAAATTGTAAGCGCTATATAAATACATAAATAAGATTTGGTTTTGGAAGCTTTGCAACGTTTTCAGCGGACAGGTCAGTGTAAACCTGTTTTCTTTGCCAGGTACTTTCAATGGTATTTTTTTCTTTTTTTTTACTCCCTGTCAGGGTCACTTTCAGCACTATCAGGAAGTGCTAAATCGTTGCCTTTCAGAATGGACCACATTTGGGTAAAGCAGGAGCAATTGAAAACTTTTTTTTTTTTTTGTTAAAGTGAGAGTCTCTGAACTTGTTCAAGAGAATGTGACTAAAGGTGCCCATACACTGCTTGATTCTCGTACGAGAATCGGGATACTGTTTTAAATGCTAAGGAGACATCATCACCTTCAGCTTGCAAATGCAGGACTGCGTGCTCCCACGCAGCTCCCTCCTCCGCAGCCAGTGCTGAAAACTGCTGTGATAGTGACCCAGGGGTGGATTGTGGCAGTGCTTGGTTGCTAGGCCTAGGCATTGTCACAGGGAAGCAGATCATATACACCCTGATACTCAGATGCCGGGTATTCTCTCTGGCTAAGGAGGAGGAAGGTGCATCAGGTAAGTGCTGGTGGGGTCAATAAGGGGGTCGAAGTAGAGGTGGAGGCATTTCAGAGACACTGCCACCTTTTCCTGCATGGACAATGTGACCGTATCTCTAATGCAACTATATTAAAGAGTAGCTCCGTGCTTACTCAAGAACCTGCTATAGGCTTCAGGCAGCTGTGGACTGTCTTACTAGATAAAAATAAGTATGTGTGGCCCCATACCGTCAGTGCTGTACTCCATAGCTTAGGCCTGGTGTTTACTGCCATTGGCAGCATTGTATCTTTGCCTGTGTCTATAATATGACAAGGGAGCATGTTTTGGCTCATGTCGGTGTTTATACTCTATGAGCTGGTGTAAGGCAGACACGCCCCTGGTCTGTATCATTTGAACATGGCCCTAAACCATTGATAGAGGAAGCACCGCCAGCAGCTGGGAACACCGTTCCAAAGCCACACACAGGTACTTTTTTTTAAAATGTATCCAGTAAGGTTTATGTAACATTCTGAGATGTTAACGGTACACTCCAGCCAACATTGGTAATGGAATTGTGCAAAAGGTTTAAAGGAGAACGATGGGGTTAGGGCTTTTCCCCATAGTTCTTCGAAGGGTAACGGGAGGACATAAACTAGCGTCCCCCCGTTACCCAAAGCTCAGCTGCAGCTTGCGGTATACTGAGACGCCGCAGCTGAAACGGATCCCGACAATTATGTCATGATCCGCCCAGCTAACCCCTGAGGAAGCGGATAGGCAAATTGGTTGAGAAAAGCTAAACTGGATGAAGAAGTTGCTGTATAAGACATATCTAAAATGGTAGAACTGTGTTGTCGGGTGCACATTAAGCTGGCTGTAAACATTGATAGCCAGCACATTGATGGGATTATCACATTTTTATCAGGAGATTTTTCATACAAAGGTTTGTTTGAAAATCTACCAGTGTATACCAAGCTTTAGTAGATTCCTATTTCTGCCCTGCTTTAGAGAAACAACATTTAGAAACTGGTTGTGTTGGGCTGCACAGGTATCTTCATTTTTGAAGAACAAGTTTTGATTTTCATTCAACATTTTATAATACTTTTCTTGGCGTACAGTTTTTATTTTAAGTAATAATTGAACTCTGCATACAATATTTTTAGGGTTGTATACTACTCCTTCCAACATCAATCCATGATTATATTATTCTGCATTCCCACATGGAACTGTTTAGATTAGGGATGCACCGAAATTTTGGCCGCCGAAACATTTCGGACGAAAATTCGGTACCTCCCAGCTTCTCTCCTTCCTGCTGGGCACCGGTATGTGTGTCTTCCGATGTAGCGGTCAGCACCCAGCGGGGAGGAGAGAAGGTTTCGGGATGAAAAGCAGTGGGGGAGGAGATTGCTGTCAGCGTTGCAGTAGGTCGAGCTCTCCTTCCACACCTCCCGGCTCGGCCTCCTGTGTCAGGATGGAGAGCCCTGCTCTGCGTCCTGTGACACCTGATTCAAGATGGAGACTGGAGTATGTTTGTAAATAACTGGAGATAGTATGAGTTACTATGTACCAGTTATAAATTAATGGAAAGTGATCTACATCATTGATTGTGTACATAGTAACTCATACTATATCCACAAGGTATGAATGAACAGGAACACTCAGTATAAAGGATTCCTGTTCAT